CCGGCTTTCTTCTTTTTTATCTTATTGATTAGTTATATTCAGTAGATAATGATAAGTTATAGTAATAATCAATATTAGTGATGGAATTCACGTACAACGAATATGCTGACATGCACTCAATGTATGGGTTTGTAATGCCTTAGAGGCCAGATGACTTCATCAAGAAAATTTTCCAAATCGAAGGATTCCTGATAGGAAAACCTTTGATAGAGTGGATCGTCGTTTGAGAGAGACAGGCGAAAAACAATATTTGTTGCGATTTCCGACTGACAGAGATTTATTGTAAATTACTGTAAATAATTTTAGGAGAGTTCGGCTAAGCTAGTCACAATAATTACCACCTCCAAAAAGTGCATGCCTTTTTTCCTGAAGACTCCGCGAAGAATGGAATATTGTAACTCGATTTTAGATCGCCACAGAAACAACGCAAATGTTCAGAGTACAGTTCTATTCACGGACGAAGCTGGATTCATTAAAAACGGCATCGTGAATTCACATAATCTGCATATATGGTCACATGAAAATCCCCATGCTTCTGTTGTTACTCACCATTTACTCACCATCAACATCATTGAACCCATCAAAGTGTGGGCCGGAATCATCGGGAAATATTTAATTGGACCATTTTCATTGTCAAGAAGGTTAACTGGAGAACTTCATTTAGAATTTCTTCAAAATAATGTTCCAGAACTCTTAGATGATTTATCTCATCTAACACGACGTGATAAGTGGTTTATGCATGATGGGGCTCTGCCACAAGTGAATCTATTAGTACGAGAATACTTGAGCAGGAACTTCGGAAATCAATGGATCGGAAGAGGAGGACCAGTGTCTTGGCTTCCTCGATCAACCGACCTAGACCCCTTGGACTCCTTTTTGTGGAGACATTCGAAAACTTCAGTCTATGCCAATCCAGTCTTTAATCGGGAGGCCTTGATGGAAAGGATTAACTGTCATTGTCGCGAAATAAGAAATAATGTTGGGGTATTGTGGACGGTCCAACAATCTTCAGTTCGTAGAGCTAGAGAATGCATACGATTAGAAGGTGCTCATGTTGAACCAACATAATGTAATTGTTCTTCAATAAAATACGTACCATTAAACGAGGTTAGTTGAAATCATGGAGAGACTTAAATTAAATTGAATTCTTGCATGATGATATTTCAAATTGAGGACCTTGCCGCAAGAAGGGCGCAGCTCCACTTTTGTTAATATTTGGGAACATACAAAAAACTGTCTAGGAAATATTGTATTTATTTTGGGAGGAACAAATCATTTGAGATCCAAAGGTGACATATTTACATTTAATTCACTATAGTTAACCAAACGATATGTCGATATATGCATATATAGGATATGCAAAAAACTATTAAAGCTACGTCCTTCTTGCATCAAACTGTCGATAAAATATGTCATACTTGTCATAAAATTACGAAAAAAAAAAGATCAGTTAAGTAAAACTCAGTTTATCGTTACTCAAAAGGCACAAAGGATTATCGATTCATCAGAAAAAAAAATTACAGTCATTTTGGAAAAAATAAAAGTCGATACTGAATAGAAATACTATCAAATGAACACAATGAAATGAATTTCTTGTATAAATAATAAAACAAAAGATCATTCATTAGTTGTCACATTGGTCGTCATCGTCTGTACCAGTTACTTCGGCAACTTAATCACCACCGACTATTTCGCATGTCAACGCTTGGTAATAACTCATTTTGTTAGGGGGAACAAAGTTGGTAGCCAACTGCATCACATCCTTGTATTTTGCCTTCTTCACAGGTAACGGTGAACTGTAAACAGGGCTGATAGCTACAACTTTGAGGTTTTCGTCAATATCTCTCAAAATTTGGTATGATTCGAAAACAGGAATGCCAGTGGAAACACTGACAGCGATGCTCGTCAGATGGTCCTTGCACTCAAGAATATGGTAATGAGAAATCTTGAATCGTTCCTCTTCAGCATTCATTATGATCTTTTTGAAATAACCCTCATAATGTCCACTGAAGTTGAGAATCATATCCTGGCTGACCATAATGGGAACAAAACCCTTCAATGAGTATTGAATGTAGTGACTGTATTCTGAAGGACTGAAAACATAATCCTTCTTTCGCAAGAATTTTTCTATAACCCTGAAACAGCGGCTGCAAGGGAGAAAACTGTTCCTGGTTCGGGAAAGCGATTTTCAATCGTCTGCATAGGAGTTGTTCTCACCAGAAGATATAAAAACTGTACTATTGTCGCGTTTTTGTTTTGAGCTGCAGCATTATCTGAGAATAAATAGAGCACTTTTATATTATTTGCAAGTATATTTTCTATACATGGTGTCTCGAAATCAGCCTGCCAAACTTCACCAGTGGCTTCTACGATCAAAAATAGAAAAAAAAGTTTCAATGAACATGAGACGAGCAATGTCTCATGAGGAAGCTGTATAGTGATATAGAAAGGAAATAACTTCATTTGGTGATTTCCGGGCCGTAGTCTCATCATATATTCAGAAATGAGCCTTGTTTGTTTTTCCAGAAAGGATGCAAAAATTGTAAGTCCAAAGCAGACGTTTGTAGAATGCTTCTCCATCTGGAATTTGTGGTAGAGGAAGATTCTGCTGATAATCAAAAGTTGAAACTTCAATGTCATTATTCTCTCTACACAGTTTGGTTTTTTCTTTCAATTTCTTGAAGAAATTCTCTGCCTTGATTTCATGAAGTTTTTTCTCATTTTGCAGTTCCGCTTTATCTCTCTCATCAATATTTTGATACTTCAACTTATTGTGTAATACGTCACATTTTTTACAGGTATCAGAACGAGGAGACCCAAAACTGTAGTTGAAGTTTTTTTGGAAGTATCGAAAATGAAATTCATATGTCACCTTAGGCATATAGTCTTCATGACCAATACTTTATGGTTCATTGACTTCCAGATATAGCTTATACATCTTCTTTACATTGAGACTTATCGGTCGAGAAATATTTTGACTACGAAAGGCTTTAGCAATATTATCGACTCGTTTTCGTGATATACCATGTATACCTGAGAATGCAGCACTAAAAACTCTGATAATTTCTTTTCCGAGTTTGATATTGAATTTGTGAGTACAACTGCGACTCTGTCTCTCACCGGTTTTTAGGCGAACTCTCTTAACGTTGATAGTATGAATCAAACCTCCCAAGTAGGTATCTTGTATATGTTGATATTGTTTATCACCCATTTCATTGAAATGAGATAAAACTGCTTTTCTTTGCTCTTCGTTCACTCTTTCGTAACATTTCCATTTAAGGTGGCAGTTAGGTCCAGTTTTTCTAGAATCTACCACCAAATCTTTCCAGTTGATATAACTCTTGCCTTCAGCAATACATTTCTGCTTCATGTTTCGTTTCCAAGTAGCTGGATCAACTTTTTTTTATTTTTCTTTTCACGAACTTGGCCTTCTTCATTTCCAGTTTCTTCTTGTAGTTCTTGATTTTCTACGTTCTGATCTTCCATTCGAGGTTGACCCGTATGTGTTTGATGGTTAGGCCTTTTTCTTTTATAACTTCTTACCGACGGACCTGCTATATCGGGATATGAACTGATTCCTGAGCCAGATGGTTCATAAAGATCTGACGAACCACTACTGAACACTCGGATACTACTTTGATCACATTCTATATCACTCATGATGAAAGTTATTGTAACTCGGCCAAGCATTCAAAAAATACAAGAGTATTCGACCGAATCTCTTCGTGGTTACAGTAACACTGCCAAGAAATCGTAAACAGGTCGACCGCATCACACGCTTTCAACGATACCGACGTCGCCCGATTGGTATTCTGTGGCAATCCGATGAATTGGCGCAAGAAAGACGCAGCTCCGGAGCTGCATTCTCCTTGCACCAAACAATAACGGAGTCAGGTCCAAACAACGTTATATTAACTCCATTTGGCATCGGATTTGCCTAATTTTTGCACCAATCGACGTAGCTGAATTTTCTGTATACAGTGCATGTATGTACTTGAAATTGACCAAAAATGGAGCTCCACCCTGCGGCAAACACTGACATCTTACTATTAGTAGTAGAATAAAAATATTTGCTAAGGACACACCTGATAGTATCTACATGCACTTTGTTTACCTGTTTACCAAAATTCACAAATTCTCAGGAGGACTAAAAGTTAAATAATGAATGAGAGAATATAAAACAGTATTGAGACCTGGTCAGTGGCGTACTCAAAACAAATTATAAATTTTTCAACAGTTCTCAAAACATGAAACACCCTTTATTCAATTGAAGTGGTATGACATGTTCCTTATGCAAGATAATCTTCTCAGTGTACCTACAAATTCTCAGAGTGATATGCAATAGGAATATTGAAATAAACCGAGAAAAATGTATTACATTACAACGCCCTGTAGCGGCTGAACGGAACATTTTGGCATAGAGGTAAGATTTTTTCATTCACTTCATTTTGGTCTCGGTAGTCTGTGTTATCATTTTGTACAGACATTCGAGGAACACCCTGTAATAACTAAAAATTGTTTATTATTATTTTTCTTGAAAACGGTGCAATTTATCGATAATGAACATGAGTACCTTTTTTTCAGTGTAATATTTAAGCTACTCAAATTTTGTTTTTTATTTCTAGCATACAGGATGTCAAAAATTTGAGGATTGAAATTTCAACTTGGTCGACCTCTGATGAAGCAATAAAGCTAGTGATATATTAATGAGACTATTTCGAGGGGTCTCTACTAGTGTCCGTCATATCAAATTTCCATTGGATTCTGTTTTCGCTTCGAAAGTTATTCAAGAAAAACCGATCTCTCTAGTGGCGTCATTTAGGGGCCCATATCTCCGTCGGGAGGGCCTGTAGGAGAAAATTTTATATGAACTTGTATTATTTCCTCAGTTTCTATCTGAATCCGAGAGATCGCTCATATATATAGGACACTCTATATATATTTATTTATTCCGTCCTTCTTGACTGTTTCAATATGAAAGTGATGATTCAATTTTGTAGGTATCACCAGATTATTTACTGAAAAAGAGATGAGAGATATAACAAACAAGAATTATCAAAAACTACCAGAAGTACAGCACAAGTTGGTCCAATCCAGAGAACAAAGACTCAGATATGCTGATAAGTTTATTGTCGGTTTATTCAAAAAGGTGAGCTATTTGCTTAGTGATATCTACAATGTATTCTACATCATTTTTGAGTACTATCAAATCGAAATGAATGTGACGCAGTGAAGGGTACATGGTGACAAAATCATTGCACTTTGTAGAATTGTATAAAAGAAATATCGCTCATTTAACTCGATCATTTGTCGATATAGCAATAGTACCTTGATAAGTGACTTTGAAATCTCAGAGTGATATCGTATTATTTTTAGGCGTAGATATAATACTATCACGAATGAACCTAGATTAAATCTGGCCGAGGAATAGGAATACTCGTTGTAATCATATCATTCCACTACTTATGAGGTGTATACTATATTCTTCCAACTATTATATCTAGAGCACACCTTTATTAATGCTATCTTCGACCTGAGAAATCGTTTTTCTGTATTATTGGCCCATAATACAATTTTCACTCCTACTAAATTATAATAAAAACATTTTACACATCTATTCTATCTGAAATGCTCTGAATTCAATTCTCATTTGAAATGTCTTCATATGTCACTCATCTGAGGTACAGCTCCAAACGACTTCCTAATTCAATTCAATTTTTATATCATTATTTCGAAGTTTGGAACCAACTCCTCAGAAGTCGGAACCCACTGGGCAAAAAAGCATGCCAGTTTCATCACATTCTTGTAACCTTGATTACATGTTACGTTATGACATAGGGCACATTAAAGTATCCAGTTTCTCCCAGTAACGTTGAATGTCCTTCAACATAACAAAGGCATTTTTATTTTTACGTTACACAAAGTTCATCATATATAAGGTTACCTACATTACCTTAATGTTCCAATTATCATTACATCAACGTAACTATTATTCCAACTGTTGAGTGTGTCTCTGTACTAGCCTTATGTGATGGCGAAATTAAACGAGTGGACTGTATTTTCGGAATCTGTTTATTGCAAAATGATTGCGAGATGTGTTCTCTACAAAGCTTACAAACAGACTGACTAGGCCAGTGAAATCGCGCGTAGCGCTACATAAAAAGCTCGCTTAGTAACAAGACAGCTGGGCGGTAAAACATCGAAGATTGGCGGCAAGACAAAACGGTTATTTTAAATGAATACAGGGTGGATAATGCGGCCGGGGCAGAGATATTCATAAAAAAGATATATGAAAATATACATAAGTAGCCCGCCTTGAAAGTATGCTTTCAACTGAAATATAAAAAATGCATAAAAAGAAATAATTATGTTCACATAAAGATTATTAATTAGTAATTGAGTCATTATTGTCTTCAATTGGCAATAAACAAACTTTATTCACTGCACGTTTGAAAGACCCATTTGGTGTTTTCACTAGCACAACACGCACAACTCCATCATTGCCAGGAAACACTTCTGCTATTCTGCCAATCCTCCACTGGAACGGGGCAAGATTGTCCTCCTTGAGTAGGACCATGAAGCCTGGTTGTAAATTGACAGTAGTTGATCGCCATTTGCTGCGCTGCTGAAGACTGCTCAGGTATTCAGAAGACCATCTCTTCCAAAGGTCTTGAAAAAGCTTCTGCATGTGATTCCAACGCGATAAAGTACTAACTGGTACCTTTGCGTAATTTGAGTCTGGGTAAGATTGTAGTGAATCTCCAATGAGGAAATGTGACGGGGTTAGAATAGAATAATCTGAGGGATCATTAGACAATGGGATTAGAGGTCGGGAATTGAGACAACCTTCAACTTGAACCAAGAAGGTATTATATTCCTCATATGTGAATATAGCATTGCCTGTGATCCTCTTGAGGTGGTATTTCATGGATTTGACAGCTGCTTCCCACAAGCCGCCAAATGTTGGAGATCGAGGTGGTATAAAATGCCATTTGATAGACTGATTTACAGCGTAGTTTTCTATCTGATTCCAGTGTGCCTTGGATGACAAAATGGATGTTAATTCTGTCAAGGTTTTGTTAGCTTTGACAAAATTTGTGGCGTTATCAGAGTAAATATTGGTGCATTTACCTCTGCGAGCCATAAATCTTTTTAGTGCTGAGAGAAACGCTTCTGCTGTGAGACTGGATACAAGCTCGAGATATACGGCTTTGGTGCAAAGACATATAAATACTGCAATGTAGCAAGGATATGTGCGTACTCTGCCTCGTCTATGGCTTTCTTTGAGTGTGATTGGACCTGCATAATCGATCCCGACGTTGGAGAAAGGACGATATTGATTAACACGTTGATGAGGTAAATTTCCCATCAATGGAAAATCTTCTGTTGGTTTGTGTCTGTAACATGTAACACACTTACGTAGAATATGCCTTACAGTATTTCTTCCTGAGAGAGGCCAATATCTTGTTCTCAGTGATGCCAGTACTGCCTGTGGTCCTGCATGCAAAAGTGATAAATGCTCCTCCCTGATGATTAACTGTGTGAGGCTGTGTGATGAAGGAAGAATGATTGGATGCTTTTGAGTGAATGGTACATCTGCATTTTTTATTCGACCACCAACTCTCATCAATCCATCTTTATCTAAAAATGGTAAGAGTGATAACAGCTTGCTTTTATTATGAACCGATCTGTGTGTAGTCAGCTGCATGATATCTTGAGAAAACGCTCTCGCTTGCGTTATCTTTAGTAGACACTTCATAGCATTCTCGAGTTCTGCTACTGTCAAATGTCCAATTTGTGGATCTGCATTCAAACAATTGTTTCGGAAACGTAGACAATATGCAACAACTCTCTTCAACTTGCTGAGAGAAGAATATCTGTCCAATATATCATTTTCAGATACTTGTGAGGTATTAGATGAAATTGGGACTTTTCTTTTTTCTAACTCGATAGAACTGTAATCTGTCTGTGGATTTGCCGTGGGCCATTTGTTTGAATCTAGCGTGATCCAGGATGGGCCATTCCACCATAAATCATGGTGAAGTAGTTGATTAGGTAGTAGTCCTCTTGAAATTACATCTGCTGGATTGTCCGATGTACGGACATGCTTCCAATCATTAACATTTGTGTTTGCTTGAATCTCAGCTACCCGGTTGGAGACGAAAGTTTTCCATGTGGATGACGGAGATGAAATCCAATCCAGAACAATGGTGGCATCAGTCCATAAGTGGCATGAATTGATGGCAATCTTGAAACATGGTTGTACTTTTTGTACCAATTGTGACAATAAAAGTGCCGAACAGAGCTCTAGTCTTGGTAGTGTGGTCGCCTTGAGTGGAGCTACTCTGCTTTCTGAAAACAACAGTTGAACATAATGCTTTCCTTCCTTATTGGTAGCCCTGACATAGATACAAGCGCCATACGCTTTTTGGCTGGCGTCACAGAACCCATGAAGTTGGATGTTGATAACATTGTCAAAATATGTTACCTTCCTGCTGATTTCTAATGAATTTAGGAAGTGTAGTTCATCAGTTAACCTTTTCCAACTTGTGTATTCTGATATGGGTAATGACTCATCCCAATCGAGATTGATTTGCCATAATCTTTGCATAATTAGTTTAGCTAGCGTGGTTACCGGTCCTAGAAGACCAAGTGGGTCAAATATCTGAGCTATGCTAGACAGAACTGTTCGTTTTGTGCATCGGACACTCCGAATGGCAGATATGTGAAATTTGAAAATGTCACTATTTGAATCCCATACTAGTCCTAGGGTTTTCGTACTTTCTAGTTTGTCATGCGGCATAAAATAATTTTCAAGTGTGGTTGATGTTGATTTGAAAATCTCATTTTCATTAGATCTCCATTTTCTAAGTTCAAAACAACCTTGCTTCAAAATATATGTTATATTGTGATATAAGATTTCTGCCTCTTCCACCGTTTGTGCCCCGGTGAGGAGGTCATCAACATAAAAATCGTCTGCTATGGCCTGCGCAGCACTAGAATATTCTGAATATTCGATAGAAAGTTGTTTCAGACATCTGATAGCTAGAAAACTGGCTGGTGTAGTGCCATAAGTCACAGTATCAAGTGTGAAAGTTTGAATAGGTTGTTCAGGATTATCACGCCAAAGTATTTTTTGATAGGAAACGTCATCTTCATGAATTCTTACCTGTCGGTACATTTTTTGTACGTCAGCTGTGAAAACTACATTATAAAAACGAAAGCTAATGATTATCTCGAAAAGTTCTCTCTGAATTATAGGACCTTTCATAAGAATATCATTTAGTGATGTACCTGATGATGTACATGCCGACCCATCAAAAACTACACGTAATTGGGTTGTCAAACTATCCTGTTTGCAAACCGCGTGGTGTGGTAGATAATATCCTGAATTATTATCGTTTTTGATCATGTGCATGTGATTCAAATTTACGTATTCTACTATGAATTTTGTGCATTTTTCCTTAAGTGTTGCATCTTTCTGAAATCTCTTTTCTAATGAATAAAATCGTTTTAAAGCAATTTCTTTGGAATCACCTAAATTTTCAATATTTTCCTTGAATGGCAATCTTACTGTGAATCTACCATTTTGATCACGCGTGTGAGTATTTTGAAAGTGAATTTCACATTTTTGTTCTTCTTTTGAATAGGCTTTTTCACGAGCTTTTTCATTAGAAACTTCTTCTAATTCCCAAAATTGTTTGATTTGATTACTGAGTAGTTCATTCGTGCTCAAATGACAAATTGTTGTATTGCTCGAGGTAAAATCATCATTAGGATTTAAATGATTAGTTATACCTGAGGTTTTTCCTGAAACTATCCAGCCTAATAAAGTTTTCTGAATAATTGGACCATTTTTGCTAACATAAATTTGACCAAGACATAAAAGTTCAAAGTAAATTTCTGCTCCCAAGAGCATGTCAATTTGCTGGGGAATATGAAAATTCGGATCTGCCAATTGAACATTAGGAGGAATTTGAAAATGTGCCATGTTGACTTGTACAACTGGAAGATTGCCTGTTATTTCTGAAAGAACAAAAAATTTCAAAGAGACCTTGTATGAATTATGACGCGATTCAATTGTTATCTGAGCTGATTGATTGATATAAGATGTACCATTGCTGATACCCTTTATCAACAGTTTTTCAT